TTAGTTTTGTGTGTACTGCAGAACCACGTCCAATGCCTCACCGTACGTAGCACCCCAGTGTGTGTATGTGACCCAAGGCTCATCAATCTTGAGACCAAGCACGTTACCCACTATTGGGAGCGGCTTGGGACCTGGAGGAAGGGGAAGGTCTCCCGGGTTTCTCTTTTTATGTGACCACCAGCTAAGTAAGCCATATGCTATCGCAGACATGGCAGCAAGAGCTGGAATACGATAGTCCGATAATGTAGACATGAAGATGGGGACCTGAAAAAAGGTGAGGGCCAGAGAAGAAAGAAAAAGAACTCGCGCTTCATGTGCGCCTTGGTAGTCCGGCTAAGTAGGAAAAGATGTGCATGTTGACACCCCGACTTCGAAACCATACAGTTGGTACATGATTGTGTGTGCAAGATCTGAGTACTTAGTGTGTATTGACGCCATTTCAAATTGCCTCGAGGCCTTCATAGTAATCATATACCCGCATATGGGCCGATATGGATCAATTTTTACATAATCGGTAAGTAAAATATCTCGCACAATAATTCAAGCAGGTAAGTAAATGCAGTGTACTTGTCGACTCAGAGGATACATACGCCTACTGTAATGGAACTAACAATATTTACTGGTACTCGTTATGCAGTATTAGTAGTGCTAGAACTTATTCGGTCCAAAACGCAATCAAGGCATGTAATTGATATCTCCTTATAAATACTAACGAGCATCCCTTTAAGGACTAAAAAATAACAAGATATGCTAACCAAATTGGGAACCACCCACAGATGACTAATGAGGCAGCGCACTCGTAAGTCGCCAACATACAGCCTGAGTTCTCTGTGCTCTGCTCCTCCAGTACTCTCTTATTATTCATCATTCTAATCCACAACGTCAATGGAAGAAAGTATCAGTCTTGAGGAGACGAACAAGATTCGTATCTCTCTCGGTCTCAAGCCTCTCACAGATGATTCTGCACCAGTCGACGACAAAGAGAAGCAAGCAGAAGATAATTATGCAAAACAGCGCGAGCGACAGGCGAAAGAGAAGGAAACAAAGTATTTACATGGTTCGTTTCTGAGTATACGACTTGTTCTGATTGACGTCTCTCTTTTCCAGGCAAATATTTGACCGGATAGCGAAGTGAGTTTCGATTCATTTATACTGGCTCTTCGGCCTCGGCCAACAATTTTTGCTCATCTTTCAATCACAGGGTGAGGAACAGACGAGAACTCCATGCTTCCCTCAAGGGTACAACACTTGGTGATCCCGACGGCGATACAGAAGATACCCTGAAGTGGATCAAAAAAGCCAAGAAGCGCGACAAGGAGCTGGCGCAGAAAAGGCAGCAAGAGCTTGAGAACTTGGACAGAGCCTTTCAGGGTGATGAATATACGGAAAGTGCGTGCAGGCCCTAACATAAAGAATGACTTGCCTGATGGTCTATCCGCAGAGGATTTGGTTGGTCTCAAGGTCAGCCACGACTTTGAAGACCTCGGAGATGGCGATGCCCGTATTCTCACATTGAAAGATAGCCGCATCCTTGACAATGAAGGTGCGTCTGCTGCGAGCCTTACTCTAACGCTGCTGTTCCTAATTCCACCCATCTAGAGGATGAACTTCAGAATGTTGAGATGGCCGAAGAAGAACGCACTCGCAAAAATAATGAACTGAAGATTAAAAGACGGGATTACACCGGTTACGATGATGACGAATTCGGAGATGGCAAGGCTGGAATGAAAAGATCAATTTTGGCGAAATATGACGAGGATATTGAAGGTCCTAGGGAAACTGTACGTATGTCTAACCCATAACGCTCCACCACAATTGATTATTTGCCTATCTTTCAGGATTTCCGTTTGGGCAATTCTGTTACGTCTACTACGATTAGTGGCGTTCAGGCGAAACAAGAACTAGCAGGCGTAAACAAGTCTTTACTGTCGATAGATTACGCCAGTCAGTTTTTATCTTTGCTTTGTCCCTTGCCTTTTGTTGATATATCCGGTTTCTAGAAAATTTGGAAACTCGTGATTACCTGCAAGAAGGAGATATAGGTTTCAAGAAGCCGAAAGTAAGCGATATTCAGGTCTTTTGATTGATGAAACTTGACATTCATGTTTATTAGACCAAAAAGAAACGTTCATCACGTCGCGCCCCCATTGATGGCGATGAGAATATTATGGAGATTGATGTTGATGAGAAACCGATTGTGCCTAGGCCACGTGAGTTAGACGCCAACTTTGTCGATGACGATGAGCTACAAGCTGCACTTGCTCGGTCCCGAAGAGCGAAGATTCACAAACCCAAGAAGTTATCTCCGGAAGAGATTGCTCGTAAAGGTGAGCTAGGCTGATTCCTTCTGAGCGCTTGAGAGTGACTGTTTTTAGTCGCAGAAGAACGTAACCGAGAGCAATCGAGCCAAGCAGATGATACTTTACAGATGGACGACGCAGAGGATGGCGATGCCAATGGTTTGACATTCGACGATACCTCGGAATTCGTTCGGGCTATCTCATACAACACGACTGTAGTGAAGTCAGAGCCTGCAGAGGAATCAGTAGAGCCCACCCTTGCCAAACAGATATCACCCTCTGACCTTCCAGTGGCTGCAGGCGACGAGGCTCTCGACGAAATTGAAGCTGGTGAGGTTGTTAAGGAAGAAGAGTACGAAGATATGATGGAAGTCATCGCTGAAGCGGAGGCGAAAACTGCCGCAGTAAACGACGACGCCGAGGTTGGGACATCAGGGGAAAAGATGTTTGGCTCTGGTATGGCGGCCACTCTTTCACTTCTTCGGCAGCAGGGTGTACTGGCGATGCCATCGGTAGATCAGACCTCGCGAGAGTCTGTTCAGTTACATAGGGATCGATTCCTCGCTGAATATCGTCATCGACAAACCCAACGGGAAACGGATCGCTTACAGTCTCGGAGTGGTAACAAAGACCAAGCGACTCGAGAATATGAGAATCGACTCCGAGAACAGCAAGAGGCTCGCGCACAGCTGGAGCTATTCAAGGACTACAAGCCTGACGTGGAAATTGTCTATTACGACGAGTATGGCCGTGTGCTAACCCCAAAAGAGTCATGGAAAGCATTGTCCCACAAATTCCATGGCAAGGGATCCGGGAAGATGAAGACGGAGAAGAGGCTGAAGAAAATTGCGGAGGAGAAGAAGCAAGCTGCTATGGCAAGTGGTGATACCCCCCTTAGCATGAACCGTGCCTTCCAGATCCGTCAGGAGAAAACTGGCCAAGCTCACTTCGTACTGTCTGTGGGTAACAGAGGGTACGTTCATTCTGCGTCTGTCCCCTTATTGCCTCTATAATTGCAATACGTATAGTGCTGTCCCTCAAGCGTCCGAGTTCTTGGACCCTCAGCCGCTGTCAAAGGGCAAGACCGAAAAGACGAAGAGCAAAAAGAAGGACTCAGGGAAGGCCGGTGCTCCATTGCTTGAATCCACTGGTTTCATGACGCTGCCGGCGCCGCATTTGCAGTCCCACCTCAATTCTCAAAGCCCTGCCCCATCTGGATTTTCATCTGTTATGCCTCCTAGTGGATCGAACTCGCCCCCAGTTATGAAGCCAGGCTTTTCTCGTATATCGTCAGCTGCAGATACGCCGACACAAACAGGTACTCCTGTGCCGTCAGACCGGACGAAGGTGGCCTTTGGCTTTGGAGCGAAGAGGAAAGCAGAGGACTTTATGGATCTACCTCCCTCCAAGAGACGATGAGTTTAATTAATATTTTGGTGTAATTATTTCCTGCTCTCGTTTATCACTTTCGGAATATATGGCATAGGGTGCCCATAATCTCGTGAACTCCTTCGCTCATCATCGTTGAAATTTGTCCTTGTTTGAGTACACGAGGAGCTTGTCTGTGAGCAGCGGAAACTAGTGTTGCCGCAAGTCGACGCGGTGTGATGCGGTGCTAGCGAACTCGAACAAGTAAACGATTCGAGTTGTATCGAGTTACACACCAGTGCAACTAGCGAGTTCGGATGTTGTTCGGGAATTAAGTCCACCAATCAACGGGCTCAGATCTATCTCTTTCTGGTTTAGCAAGTCAAATTTATTGGCGCATAAATAGTTATATTTGGCAGAAACAGAATTATATATTTCTACAGTCATGACTCATCATGGCTACAATATCGTGAACGCTTGATGAGAAGGCTCGCTCGCACGGCACGGAGGAAGCCTGTATGGGTAAGATGTCGAGGGCGACTTTGTATGAGAGTGGATATACTCGTTCCGCATCCTAATCACGATTAGCGCCATGTGTGAAAACAATGAGTGCGAGACTTATGGGCATGTACATGGTAGTACAAAACTCATGTGTAAAAAAGTAGAAATTTTTTGATTTTTTATGGACCGACGAAGTAAGTAGGGCAGACATATTGACAAGGTATAACGGCGAGGTGTAAAGCACTGGAGAAGTGCTCAAGATTGCATGAAATACTCGAGCTACAGTCGGCAAGATTATAGAGACTTACAGTAACATTGATAAGATACCAGGGAAGCTTATGAAGGACCGCATTGGACTAAAATGTTGACTCAGAAATTCACAACTCAACTCGGTCACGTGGTCACTCAACTCGACAATTTGCAACTCAACTCGGTCACGTGATAACTCAACTCAACTCGATCACGTGGTAACTCAACATAACTAAACTCAGCTCAGTCACATTGTGTCAAAACTACCTTCTCGGAGTCGAGTCGATGTTAACTCGATTCCAACTCACACCGGTGGCAACACTACTCGCCATTGCTGCAAAAGCCTTCGGGTGTTTATCGATATATCCTTGTCAGTACGTCATAACATGATCAAGTTACAATAGGTGGTTCCCTTCCGTTCGCATGTGGTTTCCTAGTGTTTCCTATATGATCTCTTGTGAACATGTCAGTCTGTCGCATACCAAATATCCCCTGTATTGTTATCATTATGGCTGACAAGTATTGAAACTACCGTCCAGGGTATTAATTGTATGCACCACAAAATACTATGCGCGATATGAATTAGCTAAGCTCGTCAAGTTGCTCTGGGGTAATGATATCTGTAAGGCCGAAAAAATCGTTATCCTGCTTGGTAGAGGTAGGGGTAGAAGTGCTATTCAATACGTCCTCAGCACCCTCCAAAGCAACTATGATCTGCTGGAGAATGCTTTCAATATCAGAGGAGGCGCACTTCCGGTCATCAACGTGTCCCATGCCCGTGTCAAGCTCGCATTTCGTACTGTTGCTGCTTCCATCAAGGGCAGACAGTATTGTCGCAATAGTACCTCCTGCACTTACAATCCCTGCCGTCTTCCCTAAAATGTTTGAGACGCTAGAGGGGATCGTAAAGCTGCGATCTTTGAATTGGTAGGCTGGTTCACCCAAAGCTCCATTGACATCAACTCCATCAGGAGTTTGGCCCAAGTCCCGCCTAGTGCTATTGCTGCCGTCAAAGGCGTTCACAATCTCATTAACACCTGATCCCAGGCTAATGATACTCCCGATATCTTTGAGCCAGGTCGACGCAGTGCTGCACTCTTCGACGGGAAGGATGGAGTCCACTTGACATTTGACGTTAATATCGCTCAACACAGAGCTACCTTCTTGCAGGAGGGTCTGGAGCGCTGCGGTGATGTCGGAGGTAGTGTCACGTTTGATGTTAATATCGTTCAACACAGAGCTACCTTCTTGTAGGAGCGTCTGGAGCGCTGCAGTGATATCGCGCCTCCCTGCGGAGGGCAATTCGTTTAACGCTGCTGCGATGGGTTGAACGATATTGGAGGTAGTGTCACGTTTGACGTTAATATCGCTCAACACAGAGCTACCTTCTTGTAGGAGAGTCTGGAGCGTGGCAGTGATGTCTGCAGTGATATCGCGCTTCGTTGCGGGGGGCAACTCGTTTAATGCTGCTGCGATGGCTTGAACAATATCGGAGGTAGTGTCACGTTCGGAATCAAGGGACAGACTTTCCCCTGGCAGGATCACTGTCCCTATGCGGGGAGTGGCGAAACCGTTGTGTACAGATGTATCGGCAATCGTACTGTCATCCGTTGATGCTGTATCCTGTCTGGAAGTGATTTGATGAAGACTGCAAATGCATTCAGTGGGACTGCTCAACGATTGTCTGCAAGGAACGTACGAGTATGGGGCAGGCGCTGCAAGACTTGGGACAGTCGTTACAGTATGAGGGTAATACGAGGACCCCATTTTATATACCTATGACGAAAAGCGTCCTGTGACTTCATTTTACATGCGCACGAGTGAAGTGTAACTGCAAACAAAGAGTAAGGTTGACCAAAACACAGCGAACATTAATACATGAACGAACCATGATATGATACACAGCGCGCGATATCATAGAGCCTCATCCCAGACCGGCCAGAATCTGGACATTTGCCATCAGTAATATAGACACATGAAGACTCTGAGTCAACTCACTAACGAGTTAAAGCATTGCAAGTTGAGTTGATGCGATGAGTTGGTAGATTATGTAAGTTGCCACATGGACAAGTTGGAGTTGAGTTGAGTTGAGTTGAGTTGAGTTGCCACGTGAACAAGTTGAGTTGCAGGTGAGTTGAGTTGATATTTGAAGGAGTTGACAGGGTTTTGGCCGAGTTATATTTTGTCCGCCACGGTCCGTCATAGAAGCTTATGGGAAAGTCTTCTCGATATGTCAATCACCAACTCGCAGTGCAACTCGATGTTTACACCGCATGGGGCAGTTGCCACGAGTTGCGTAAATTTCCGAGTCGAGTCGATGCTAACTCGATTCCAACTCACACCGGCGGCAACACTAGCGGAAACATGTGTTCGACCCATTAAACAATTCTTTCAGGACACCTCACGGAACGAATTGATGTTGAGGACATAAGAAGTAGACAAAATGACAATCTAGAATCACTGGGTGCGTGGCATCATTCATGTTCAAGTCCAAGCACTTATTTTTGTTACAGCAGCGGTTGCAAATGTGCTCCATCACACCTATGAGAAAGGTGCTACATTGATGGAGCCAGGACAAGCCAAAGCCAAGTTTCTCTAGCATCTCGTCAGACCATCTTCGGCGTGCGTCTCGTTACTACGTTTGTACCGCTCCGCGCAAGTGCTACAAGTCTGGGTCGTACAACTTACAAAAGAAGCTAGCATTATGGAGCGCCAACAAAAGTATATACAAGTGAATTGTTGAAATTATGGGGTACAAAGGAGCTCGAGTGGAGCGCGCACATGGTGTCAACACGAATTGGTTCTGCGGTATCAAATCACTGCGTTCTTATGATATGTAGATGAAAGTAATGCAGTGTACATATCTTGAGACTCCATGATGCAGCCACCAACTTGAATAGGTGAATCGAGATAAAAACAAATTGTGCTCCCAACAGCTCATGCAGTGCCCATTCTGCATGCTATGATGAGTATAAACAATGCCTA